TATTGATATTGATATTGATATTGATATTGATATTGATACAGTTATCATAGGCTCGGCAACTCAAAAGAAGGATAGATACTAAAGCTAGAGCGAGAGCTAGAGTTGCTAGAGCTAGTAGAGCTTCAGCTAAAGACAAAGATAAAGTTAAAGCTATAGGGAAAGGAAAAGCAAAAGCTAAAGCTACTAGTACTAGAGATGGAGCTACTACTACTGCTACTACTACTAGTAGTAGTAGTAGTAGTAGTAGTAGTAGTAGTAGTAGTAGTAGAGGAGCTAAAGCTGGAGCTAGAGCTACTAGTAGTACTACTAGTAGTAGTGCTGAAGCTACTAGTTTTAGAGCTGATAGGGCTGGGGCTAGAGCTAGAGCTGGAGCTAAGGATAAAGATAAAGCTATAGCTGCTAGAGCTACTAGTGCTAGAGCTAGAGCTAAAGCAAAAGCTCAAGCTAAATCTAAAGCTACTACTACTAGTAGAGCTGTAGCTTGGTGAGCTAGAGCCAGAGCCAGATTATCTCAAGATACTGATCAACCTGGAGCTACAGCTACAGCTAGATAGCTCTAAGAAAAATGATACTGATAGCGCTAGTACTGATAGTGGTAATATTTAGTAGCGCAAAACTGATAGTGGTGATGATGGTAGTAGTGATACTGATAGTAATAGTACTAGTACTAGTAATAGTGATACTGGTGATAGTGATGCTGATAGCTATTAGTACAACTATGTGAAAAATAGAAATAGTTTGAGAAAANGTAATAGTACTAGTACTAGTAATAGTGATACTGGTGATAGTGATGCTGATAGCTATTAGTACAACTATGTGAAAAATAGAAATAGTTTGAGAAAAAAAAGTGGTAGTAGTTACTAAGCAGTAGTTGATCTTGTACTGAAACTACAACAACTAATAGTATTACTTTTTCTACTACTACTTCTGTTTTTCTCATAGTAGTGGTACTACTGATAGTGATACTGATAGTAGCTACTAAAGATACTACAGCAAGAGCTAGTTGAGTTGCTAGAGCTAGAGCTTCAGCTAAAGATAAAGATAAAGGGAAAGCAAAAACTAGAGCTAGAGCTAAAGCTGAAGCTACTAGTATAGATGGAGCTAGTAGAGCTGGATCTAGTTTTAGAGCTGATACTAGTGCTACTAGTAGAGCTAGTGCTAGTAGTAGAGCTAGAGCTAGAGCTAGAGCTAGAGCTAGAGCTAGAGCTAGAGCTAGAGCTAGTTTTAGACCTGATAGGGCTAGAGCTAGAGCTGGAGCTGCTGGAGCTGGAGCTAAGGATAAAGATAAAGCTATAGCTGCTATAGCTACTAGTGCTAGAGACACTCACTGATACTACAGACTCGCACCAGTTACACACTCACCAATACAA